CCAATTCTTGTCTCACCATTTTAAATCATAGGCTCTGACCCCTAAACCCTAAACCTTATAAACCCTAAACCCCTATAGACCCTAAACCCTAAACCCCTGTAGACCCTAAACCCTAAACCCTGTGCTTTGCGCCGAGGCAAAGGCTTCCTGGCCGCTGATGAAAGCGCCGGGCCATGGCTTAGGGCACGACACGTCGAAGCGGCAAAGATCCCAGCCACTCTGGCGGCACAAAAAAATCACTGGGGTGGATGTTTTTTTTCTGTATCTTTATCTCAATTTTTTTGAGCTTTTAGATATAAAAGTTGCTGAGTTTATATAGTTAACCATACGATATGTGTTGTTGTTTTTTCCATGCCAGATAGCTTTTGAAATCTTTGATTGAGGATCGGATGGGACTTATAGTTGTTCGTTGTTCTTGGGTCGTGGTGCTGTGACATGTGACATGCGAGGATGTGGCAGAGAACAGAGCAGAGTATCGGTCTATGTGCTTCGCAACTCCGGGCTTGAGCGAGCACATCGGCGGAGTGATCCTCCACTGGGAGACGCTGTTTCAACGAGATGCACAGGGCAAAGCCATAGTGGACATCATCAAGGACAATGGCATGATTCCTGGTATCAAGGTGGACAAGGGCTACAACAAGAAGCTTGGATTTGCTGGTGATTTTTCTGAAACTTCCCATTTGGTTAAGCCGCGAAAAGACGGGGAATCTATTGGGAATACCCAATACGGTAATTTGTTTTTTTAGCTATAGCTGAGCTATGGAAATCCATAGGTGTCCCGGGTCCCGTTCGGAAATGATCTGCTTGATCTGGTGGATTTTCTATAGATCCGCTCGTTTAATGGAGGGTATCACCTGCTTATCCATCTATGAATTACCTGAAATTGTGAAATTGATTGTCTACGACCCGAATGGGAATCGACTTTGAACCACACGGAAAATCAAAATCGTATTAAATGCTGAGTTGAACAGGTTTTAACTCATGTAACTTGATTTAGACTATTCGTGTGTAAATTTGTACTGAATCTTTGAATCTTTTTGTTCCTTGCATCTTCGATGTCGCAACTCCAAGGAAGGGCATCTGGGGAACTCCGGTTGGCCCTTTAGGACACCCGGAGGTGGCCACTGTGGGCTTGGATGACCTACAGCAAAGATGCCACCAGGCGGCGCTTGCCACTGAAATCGGAAATCAGTCGAAACCATGGCAACTTTTTTATCGCAAAGTATAGCTGATCATAGCAACATATAGTAACTCTTGGATGGAAAATGGGTTTAGCAACGTTTAAAATAGGTTATCTCTTTATCATCTGCCTTTGCATGTCTTCCCGCCAGGCCTATGAGCAGGGCGCCCGCTTTGCCAAGTGGCGCAACGTGCTGCAGTTGGACCCAGCGAAGCACATGCCCACAGAGCTGGCGATCGCAGATTGTGTGCATACCCTGGCGCGCTATGCCTCGATCTCTCAGAGCGAAGGCTTGGTACCCATTGTGGAGCCGGAAATCGTACCCAATGGAAACACGACTGGACTTGGGGGTGATGGGTTGGATGGGATGGGTTGGGGGCCTGGGCTTGGGGGAGGCTGAACACAACCAATGCTCACTAAGGCGATCATGACATCCACTACTGCGCCCGAATGACCGAGAAGGTTTTGGCTGCACAGTTCAAGGCCCTGGCAGACCACCACATCTATTTGGAGGGTGCTGTCTTGAAGCCCAACATGGTGAAGAATGGCCTCGGTGGCCCAAAAGCCACGGCTGAGACCATTGCCACTTTGTCAGTCCAAACTTTGCTGCGCACTGTGCCTGCCTCCATGCCTGGAATCTTCTTCTTGTCGGGCGAGTCAGCTCGGAATGAAGACAACGAGGAAGAGGCAACCATCAACTTGAGCACCATGAACAAGTTGTTTCCCAAGTTGCCATGGCACCTCTCCTTCTCCTATGGCAAAGCTTTGCAGAGGACGTGTATTGTCACGTGGCTAGGCAAGGCCGAGAACAAGGACGCCGCTCAAAAGGCTTTGAAGGCACGGGCCAATGCGAACTCTGATGCTTGCTTTGGCAAATACACGCCCGGCAGTTGTAAGAGCCTTGGACCTGAGGAAGGAGCAAGCAGCAAAGTGGCTTCTGAACCTTACTGAGTAGATGGAAGGAGTAAGGAAGTAGCTTGCGCAAGAGCTGCAAGTGTTCCCTGGATTCCGTTTCAAGTTTACAGGTAGCTGCAGGTGCTGGTTGCCGGTAACCAGGTACCTATTCCGGCTATGTGATTCCAGGTTGATCAGATTCTGCCATGACTGGTCTTTGGCGGCCTTCTCTTGTTGCAAGCACAGTAGTCTGGGCTGCCATGACTTGCAAGTGGGCAAAGCAATGTATGTCTCTGGGCTGTCATTTGGTGCAGCTGCAAGTCATTTGTACCGAATTCGCAAAGCGATGCAGCTAGGCCGTACAGT